TTAATAACTGAAGCTCAATCTATAAGGCTCTTCCATCATTACAATGATTTTAAAAAAATACATCCATTGTTTGTTCAGTAATAGAATTATTTATATGGAACCCTATAGGAGTTTGAGGCAGATATTTCATAAGCAGAGTTAAGTTAGATTTGGAGAATTTGCTGAAATTTTTCATATTTAATGTTTTTGCAAAACATGATCTTATCTCTAAATTCAATTTTCTTTTCTTATACATCAAAAAGGGGGTTCTCAACAAAGAACCACATGAAAGATCATATTCTATAACTGAAAATATTTTGAGGGATTAAAAAAAAGGCCCTTATACAAATGCAAGGTGTCATATAAACATCCATTCATCAAAAATGGTTAGGGAATGAGGAAATCCAGTTAGATCAAATATTTTAACCTTTAAATGTACCATATAAACCACACATTGATTACCTATTACTGTCAAGCAATTATATTAAAAAGACCCAAGTATGAACATATTGTATAGATTAACATTTTTCCTTTAGGATCTTACTGTGCCCAGTACCACTATGAGGCCTTTTAATCATCACTACATACAGCTTGAAAGGAAACACATCCATTATTTGAGCTTTGAGGCTGACTCGCCTCCAGATAGAGGCTTCACAGGATTCTTATCTTTATCATGATATTCACCAGGTTTTGGATGTTCTGCCTGAATCCCACTGTGGTATATTTAGCATCGGCCCTTCTTACAGCAGCTGGGAACCTAAACCCTGAAACATGGTTTCCAAAGTATTAATTTCTGCTTACAAAAATACGGGGAAAACACTTTTTCATGTGACTTAACTTACTACATGAAGTTGATTAAAGCTTGTTAAAAGCCATTTGACTTGCTTCATTTACACACACAGGTACACAGACAGACACATACACATGCTCAATGTTTCTGAAATAAAGAAATATTCTCCACTGAAAAAGAGAGAAGATTTTCAGGGACTAGATGAGCAGCATGTATTTTAAATGTCTCTCTCTAGATCACACTTAAGTATATGTTTGGTTTGCAACAGCAGCAGCCCAGTAAATGTGGCCAGACATATATTTTACTTAGGAGTTGCTATGGAACCCTTTCCTAACTGAAAATTAAATCTCTCCGTCTGTTTGCATGACTATTCACCGCAGTGCGGAGGGCCAGCTGATCTAACAAACATCCCACTGAACAGATTCCTCAAACCAGAAAAAAATAACAAGCTCACAGTAGAGCAAATACATGAGACACCATGTAATTCTGCAAGACCCAGTCTCCAAAAGGCACCTTAATATTTATAAAACTGGTGGAACTTTACTTAGGGATATACTTTCACACAGGCAACCTATGATATATATTTCTCAACAATATAATGTATGTAATCTGCTATAAATCCAAACAGTGAACTGTCCTGTGATCAACTAAAAAATGGGGGGCATTATTTAATAGACAATTTGGTCCTTATTTGGGGCTGTATTTAAAAGTACCAAAAAAGATAATAAACTGTATTAAAATACTAAATTGATTCCATATATTTTCCCACTTTGAAAAGCCAAATTAAAGATGCTTCAATAAAATAGAACACTGTGATAGATCCAATATAATTTTAGCTTTAATTATTTAACTTATTACACATTTATAATGTAAATCATGTTAAAAAGTCCCAGAATTTTCTAAGGCTATAAGTCTATTCCAATTAATTCTAATTATCTGAATAATTTTATGTTCCATAGGATTATAACTACCAGCCTATAAACTTATCTACCCACAAATACACACATTTTATCATACCAATTTATAATTCTTGATTGTTTCCATTAGCAAATTTATAAATTCATCAAGATATTATATAGAAAGAATTACTGATAATATATCCTGAAGCAGTTTTAAAGTATTTTATGAAGCAGAGTTCACTTAAGTCTCTGAAAGCACTTTCCTTTAAAAAAATTTTTAACAAAATTTTAAACTGATTTATTTAAATTCTGTTCCTAGAGAGAAATCAATAGGTATTATTTTTCTCCTCTTCAAATGTTTTTTGTCCCTAAACAGTTTGTTAGTTATTTTTTCATACTATGCTTGTAGGATTTGTTTTCTTTCCTGAAGGTAATTTTACATATGGACAAGTATTCTTTCCCCTAGTAGACTATGAAGTCCTAAAAGCAAAACATTACTGTGCCTTACCTAAAATGTCTGTTAAGATGTATTATCCATCTTTGATTTCTCCCATACCAATGAACTTATTTTCTTAAAATAAATGTTTGCTGGTTCACTTTAACATATAGACTTGTAATAAATTTTCCCTGTGAAACCATAACATTTTAGATGTTCAGGGAAAAAATTTTTTAAAGAGGGTATATAACTTTTCAGTCTTGAACTTGACCTATGGCATCATTTGGAGAACATGCTATCTGATAAATAAGCAAACTTACTTGATAGTTTTATAGCAATGAAAAGTAAGCTTTTTTTTTAAGATTTCTTAACAGACTGTTAAGATTTAAAAATTCATTCCAACAGTATACTAACACATATATATGGAATTTAGAAAAATGGAAACAATAATCTTGTATGCGAGACAGCAAAAGAGACAGAGATGTATAGAACAGTCTTTTGGACTCTGTGGGAGAAGGCCAGGGTGGGATGATTTGGGAGAATGGTATTGAAACATGTAAATCATCATATGTGAAACGAACCGCCAGTCCAGGTTAGATGCATGAGACAGGGTGCTCAGGGCTGGTGCACTGGGATGACCCAGAGGGGTGGGATGGGGAGGGAGGCGGGAGGGGGGTTCAGGATGGGGAACACATGTACACCCGTGGCGGATTCATGTCAACGTATGGCAAAACCAATACAATATTGTAAAGTAATTAGCCTCCAATTAAAATAATTAAGTTTATATTAAAAAAAATTCATTCCAGCTCTCTGAAAATATTTAGAAATAGAATCATTCATTCTGATGGGACTGTTGAACTTGTTTTCTAGACTTGGTAAGGAAATCAACCGTATTTCTCTACACCTTACCATTATTTTTCTGACAAAATTATCTGAAGGTACCTCAAAGATAAGATGCATCATTAATATAAATAATTACTGGAAAGGAATTCAATATAGTATTATAATCTCAGGCAAGATCTAGCCTAGAGCCAATGTTTTCCAAAGTTCCAAGTTAAAGTTGTGCTAGACAGTCTGGGTCTGGGGGGACATGATTGTTTAGTTGGAGTTCCTTTTTTTCATCTCACTGCCTATGTCAAATATCTCAGATCTCTTAGAAATAAAATCAAAGAGTCAGGCAGCAGAGAACATTGTCATGTGTGGCTTAAAGACTTCCATTGTTTTCTGTTTTCACTGTAACAGTAACATTTTGAAATATAATAGGCACGAATGGCAAAGAAAAAATACTCTGAAAAGAGCGATTAAGTATAAGAGGGATATTTTATCTAAATTTTATAGGACAATAAATTAGCAATCAGCATGCCATTTCTACAAACATTAAGAGATTCTTATTAAATTTTTCAGATAGTCAAATATTTCATCCATTAGTCCTTCTCTTCCCTTGGTATTATAATAAATAACTCTTCATAAGTGCTCCAAAGTAACAGCAAATATAGACGGCATAAAAGTCCAACATTTGATGCATGTATTTCTGCAACACCTCTTCCACATTATATACACAACTTGAAGCTTCAACACTGTGGTTAATTTTAAATGTAGTCAAGATGGCAGCCCACCCACGTTTCCAGGCTTAAAATATAAAATCTTTTATAACTGCTTCTTCACTCCTTGCAGAATCCACATAAGCTTGTCATCACACTAATGATATTTCTCCAACCAGTTTCTGTAGCTTCCAAAGATCTGCTTGGTTCTTTCGTACTGATGTTATCCACTGGAACCAATTTCCTCCTTAAAACACTGAGTAATCTGTCACAGACAATAGACTTACATGAAAGAAAATTCTAGAAATGCCTACTGCCTCCTAAAATGATAAAATTTGTTTTTTCAGATGGAAAACAAAAGCAAAACCAAAGATAAGAGATTCTGAGACCTTAAGCAAACAAGTCACAAGATGAGAATGAATCTTACCTAGTAGATGTCAAATACAAACCTATTGGTCATAAAAACACCTTAGTGGAACAGTTATGGTAAGAAGGCCACGAAGAAGAGGAGTGTGTGCTAAGTCACTTCAGTCCTGTCTAACTCTCTGCGACCACAGAGACTGTAGCCCGCCAGGCTCCTCTGTCCATGGGGATTCTCCAGGCAAGAATACTGGAGTGGGTGGCCATGCCCTCCTCCAAGGGATCTTCCCAACCCAGAGATCAAACCTGGATCTCCTGCACTGCAAGCAGATTCTTCACCATCTGAGCCATCAAGGAGGCCCACAGAAAGGGAGAAATTGGGCTAAAATATTTTTCCTTGAAACAGATATTCTCATATGTTGCTGATAGGAGAATGAATTATTTCATTTGAAGAAAATAATAGTATTTATTAACATCAAAAACATATACATTTTTTGATTCAGCAATGTGGTTTGGGGTTGCTCTGCTGAAAAAAGAGATGCAAACACTAATATGTAAGGATACCATGTATTGTAGTTATGTTTAATTCAACACATTTCTGGTGGCAAAAACTGGAGAAGAAATCCCTTATTTTCCATAAATAACACAATGGTTGAATAAATTATGATATGCCATGGAATATACACCATTACTTTTAAGAATGACTTAGAACTATTTGTTCATAATTATGGATGGCCATTATAGATGCTGCAAAGTGAAAAATGCAACTTCTGAACTAATGTACATAGAACAATTCTGTTTTGATGAAATAAGTACACAAATTTTCATGTAAATTTGTATTTCTGTGTATCTTACAGAGTAAAAAATAGCAAAAAATTGTGTTCAGTTGATGATGACATTAATAAATAAATAGATGTTAAAAATAAAATTTATTTCCTTGGACATTTCTTCCTTTAATTAAAAAAATTTTTAACTAAAAAAATTGTATCTTTTTTTTTTTTTAGGAGAAAGAATGCTTTATTGGGATGCTGGCAGCCCACCAGGGCCCTACATGCGCGCTTGGGAGGGACGCGGGACGCTCCGCCAACCACGGCCAGTGGCACATGGGGCCCAGGCAGCTCCCAACCTCACCCCAGGGGCCGGGACCCTCCCAGCCTTTCCTGGAAGTTAACTCTGGTCCACTACAGATAGAGCCCCTCCGGGGTGCCTTCCTGTTTTTTATAAAGAACATTTTCCTTCGACTTTTTGAAGTCTTCATTTGTTACTTTCATTCTGCGCTCTCTCAAGGCCATCAGACCAGCTTCTGTGCAGATTGCCTTGATGTCGGCACCAGAGAGGTCATCTTTAGCCATGATCAGGTCATCCAGGGTCACGTCGTTGGCCAGTGTCATCCTGCTCGTGTAGATCTGGAAGATGCGCTTCTTGGTCTTCTCATCGGGCAGGGGGAACTCGATCTTCCTGTCAATGCGGCCTGGTCTGATGAGGGCCGGGTCCAGGGTCTCTATGCGGTTTGTGGCCATGATGACTTTCACGTCTCCCCTCGAGTCAAACCCGTCCAGCTGGTTCAGCAGCTCCAGCATCGTGCGCTGAATCTCTCTCTCCCCACCCGAGTTGGAGTCGTACCTTTTTGTCCCAATAGCATCAATTTCATCAATAAACACGATGGATGGTGCTTGTTCTTCAGCAACTCGAAACAGTTCCCGAACGAGTTTGGGGCCATCGCCCAGGTACTTCTGAATAAGTTCAGAGCCAACCACTCGCAGGAAAGTGGCTCAGGTTTGGTTCGCTACTGCTTTGGCTAATAAGGTTTTACCTGTGCTGGGCGGGCCGTAGAGAATGACCCCCTTGGGGGGCTTGATCCCCATCTCTTCATAATATTCAGGATGAGTGGGAGGAAGCTCCACAGATTCCTTAATTTCCTGGATTTGGTTGTCCAGCCCCCCAACATCAGCACAGGTCTCCTGGGGCGCCTTTTCCACCTTCATCACCGTGACCAAGGGATCCATGTCGTCCATCAGCACTCCGATCACCGCGTGCACCTTGTGGTTGAGCAGGACCGAGCAGCCGGGCTCCAACAGATCCTTGTCTACAAACGAGAGGATGCTGACGTAGTGCTCCGAGCCCACCGACGTCGACACGATGGCGTGGTAGTCGTCGATGATCTCCTCCAGGGTTCCCACCGACATCGGGGTCCCCCTCAGGTCATCCACCTTCGACCTTTCCTCCTCTCGCTTTTCTTCTAAGGGCTTCATTTGCTCCTGATTTCTAATGAATTCTTCCTCCATGAGAAGATAGTCTTTAATTCTCTCTAGCTTCAGTAATTTTAACCGGCACTGAGTGTGAGGTGTCACCAGGGGCAGTTTGCTGGCAGCATCTGGTCCCTTTGTTTTCTTCTTCTTTTCCCCAACTCGAGTTGGTACAGGAGGTTCATATTTCTTTTTCTTGTCCTTGTCATCCTTCTTGCCACCTCCAGGACCATGACCACCACTCTGACTTTGACCCATCTCACTCCGGCCGTTCGAGCCGCCCCAAAAATTGTATCTTTTAATTTAATTTTATTTTTTGGCCTCACCATGTGGAACTTCTCTAACCAGGTATTGAACCTGCGTTCCCTGCAGTAGAAGCATGAAGTCTTAACCACTGAACCACCAGAGAAGTCCTCCTTGGATATTTCCTGAAGAAACGGGAACAGGAACTTTGTTGTTTTAGTTCTTAATAAGCAAACATTTCTTTTCCACCATTTGCCACTAGAGCTACTATGGGGGAAGGGAGGAAACAGAAGGGGATGAAAGTTCTTTGGCCTTCTCTGTACTTCTCCATGTGGCCAACATGACTAACATCCTTAGGATCCTGGTGGCAAAATCTGAAGTACGAGGACTTCCCAGGCCTTGGGTCTGAGACACCTGCCCTGGCCCAGTTTACTAGAAACTTCTACATTAGTTTATCAGCCCAAGCCTAGCTTTTCACATTAGAGTAGAACTTTATTCATAAGTCTCTGCTCATGGTACTGGGATAGCCCTTGGGAATTTCACAGGATGCTAAGGGTACATTCAAGCGTTCCTTCATTTAAGGCACAAACCACCCAATAGAACAACAGTCCCTACCATGACTAAGGAAAACAATAATTTGGCTCTTCCACAAAGCAACATACATCATCCAAAGTCACATGGCTGGCTAGTGAGCAGCTCGGACATCAGAGTATGGAGGGCGTGCTAATGCATAGACACATCTCCAGGGCTGCCCTGGGGAAACTGATAGGTTTCCTTTGTAGGTTCAAGAGAAAGTGATGCCATTAAAGCATTCTCAGAAGTTTGGGGTACTTCACTCAGCATGACAGTCTCTTGGTTTGTCCATATTGCTGCAAATGGCATTATTTTGGTTTTTTTTTTTTTTAATGGCTGAGTAATATTCCATTGTATATATGTACCTAATCTTCTTTATCCACTCCTCCGCTAATGGACATTTAGGTTGCTTCCATGTCTTGGCTATTGTAAATAGTGCTGCAGTGAACCCTGGGGCACAGGTATCTTTTCAAATTATATACACCACTATGTCTAAGAGATAATTAATAAGGATCTAATGTATAGCACAGAGAATGCCACTCAATACTCTGCAAATGGCCCATATGGGGGAAAAAACCTTAAAAAGAGTGGATAGATGTATAACTGAATCACTTCACTGCATATCTGAAACTAACACAATGTGATAAAAATCAACTATACTCCAATAAAGTCTTATAAAACAAAGCAACAACAAAAAAGTTTGGAATAAGTAAACATAATTTTTTGTAAATTATTAACAACTGCTTACTGAACATCCCTAGATATAAGATGTTAGAATGGTCTCAGGGATATACAGATGAATAAGATGCTGCCCTTAATCCAGAAGCTCAACCAGTCAGAGTTGGAGCTCCATTAATATAAGTTACACAGACAGAATAGCGAAAGTGCAGTGACAAAAGCGATGGACTTTGGAAATGCTGGGGAAGGACAGTTAAGTCTGAATTCAAAAAATGAGCAAAGGTTTTGAGGGCCAAGGAAACAACCATATAAACAAAAGGATTTCAAGCCACAATTTAAATGGATAAGCAACAAGGTCCTGCTGTATGCACAGGGAATTATATTCAACATCCTGTGATAAGCCATAATGGAAAAGAATATAAGTGTTTACATATGTATAACTGAGTCACTTTGCTGGACAATGAAAATAAACACAGCCTTGTAAATCAACCTTGTAATTTACAACCTTGTAAATTATTCAATAAAATAATTTTACAAAATTAATTGCATCAAGAAGTCTCACTCTTTAAATAAAGTTAGTAATGAATTTGCTAGTAAAACGTGAAAAAGCCTCTTCAAAAAGAGGCAGAAGGACACTGATGTGAACAGAAGCGCTGTACTGGGATCCAGACCCATTCAGAGGACACAGGACTGCTGCTGCCTCTTACTTTTAATTGCAGACCCAACCCCACCATGTGGTGAAGTCACTCTTCCCACAACAGGTTGATGATAAAGCATTGGGGAAGGTGGAAAGTGATGAACCAAAGTCATTTACATTTGCCAGTGTGCTGACACTGTGCCAGAAAATCCTTCACGAGGCAGGCAGAAGAGCCTCTGAGCATGCAACTGCCTTATCCACGGTACCACGCAGTAACATGAGGGCAAAGCTTGTGAACTAAAAGGCTAGTGGTGGCAACTGGGATGTAAGAGACTTGACCACATGCATTTGGATTTGAGGTGACTGGATGGTAACTGCCTAAGCAACCATGGGTAAGAGGATGTTCAATGAGACTCCATGGGAAGTGTCATGGCAACTGCATTTATTTTAAATGGGGAACACATTCAAACTCAAATTTTAAGACAGTCATCTTTTGGTAAAGCATGTTTTAAAATGTCCTTCCCGTCTATAAATAGTGCAAAAAAGGACACTAATGCCAGAGGAAGGATCACAGCCACCAAAGAAGATTAAAAAACAGCACATCCAGACCAGGAAAAAAGAGAATTGCTTTACAGAGGCATTTTCAAAAGCAGAGAGCCAGGATTTTGCCATTCACCTTAGGGAACAGGAAAGCCTCCCACTGATGTAATCTGGTACTTAGTATTTTTTTATTGAAAAGTGCATAGGTTAATAGTAACCTATGACTCATGAGTAATTAGGGTTCTGAAACAAGAGATAAGCCTCCCAGTAGAATAAGCCAAAGTGGAACATGTCAGACCTGGAGAAGAATCTAGTCTAACCAGACTTCAGTCACATAATCACTAAAGGTCATCATTAGACCCTGGTGAGGAGAAAATGATCATTAGTCAAAATCTAGCATGCATACCTAGCATACACACTTGGAGGATATAGTATGTATCACCAACATGGCATCTCAAGTCATCACATCCCAACAAAAAACCTCAGTGTGTGTTGAATGTCTTGATACCTGGAACAAAAGGATGATACTACCTGAATGCTGAAGCAACACTCTGTTCCCAAAGTGGGCAGCAGCAGGACATTTGAACCTGTGACGGTTCATGTTCCGTCACTCAGGTGTGTCTGACTCTTTGCCACCCCATGGACTGCAGCACACCAAGTTTCCCTGTCCTTCACCATCTTCTGGAGCTTGCTCAAACTCATGTCCATTGAGTCGGTGATGCCATCTAACCATCTCGTCCTCTGTTGCTCCCTTCTCCTGCCTTCAATCTTGCCCAGCATCAGGGTCTTTTCCAATGAGTCAGTTCTTCACATTAGAATACTCAGGATTGAATACGCAGGATTGGAATCTATGATGGAGTCCTCTCTTAATGAGGTAAGTTTCTGAGTCTACCCATATTACAGCAGATATTAATAATTAGAGCAGATATTAAGCAGACAGAAAAATGATGTCTCCAAACTATCAAATGACACTTCAGTTCAACAGACCATGAGTGTGCTATGTGCAGGGTGCTCTGGAAAACAACACGTTTACACAGGTCAAACAAACACCTTGTTCCAAAGGCAGGATAAGCCCATCAGGAAAAAGATGCCATGAGATGAAATAGGTACCCTAATAAAAGCAAAACTCAGAACACAGTGGGCGTTGGTAAGGTCATGGACAGTGACTAAGGAGGGGTTAAAGAATGTGTCTGTGAGCTCCAAAAAGAGACACATAGTGAGTTTTCTTCCCAGCAGAAGGCGTGGGCAGGTGATATCTTCCCGTCATTTTGTTCCTTGGTGACAACCAAGAATGACAATCATGCAGTCTGGACATCAAATGTTTATTGAGTCAGCACATGGGCTAGTGTAGATGTGAAGAAATAAATATACTAAGTGAAATAAGTCAGACAGAGAAAGACAGATTTTATATGATATCACTTACATGTGGAATCTAAAAAAAATGATATAAATGAATTTAATCACAAAACAGAAACAGAGGCACAGACATAGAAAACAACTTTATAGTTACCAAAAGGGAAAGGGGAGAGGAATAAATTGGGAATTTGGAATTAACAGATATATACTACTTTATATAAAATAAATAAGAAGGCCTACTGTATAGCGCAGGCAACTACATTCAATATCTTATAATATTCTATAGAATATATATGCATATATATTATACATGTATATATATATGTATATATATACACATACATATATCTGTGGAAGTAGTTATATATATATATATCCTGATGCAGTGGCAGATTTTATTCTCTTGGACTCCAAAATCACTGTGGACGGTGACTGCAGTCATGAAATTGAGATTTTACCTTTATAAGGAAAGCTATGACAAACATAGACAGCATATTAAAAAGCAGAGACATCACTTTGCCAAAAAAGGTCATAGCTATGGTTTTTTGAGTAGTCATGTATGGATGTGAGAGTTGGACCATAAAGACAGCTGAGCTCCAGAGAACTAATGCTTTCAAATTGTGGTGTGAAGAAGACACTTGAGAGTCCCTAGGACCTCAAGGAGATCAAACCAGTCAGTCCTAAAGGAAATCAACCCTGAATATTCATTGGAAGGCCTGATGCTGAAGCTCCAATACTCTGGCCACCTGATGCAAAGAGCCAACTCACTGAAAAAGACCCTGATCCGGGAAAGATCGAAGGCAAAAGGAAAAGGGGATGGCAGATGATGAGATGGTTAGATAACATCATCGACTCAATGGACATGAATCTGCAAACTACAGGAGATAGAGGACAGAAGAGCCTGGCATGCTACATCTATGGGACCGCAAAGAACGATGACAATACATATATATCTGTGACTTTGACACAAGGCCAGCTTATCATCAGAGACAGCTAGAATTGGTTATCTTGGAGCAGAGAAAAGTGGTGACCTAATGAATGTCTTCAAGACTATGATTTTTTTTAAATTTCTAGGCTTATTTTGAGTAGTCTTAAACCCTTAGAGGTCATGTGTGTGCATGTATGTAGCTGAATCACTTTGCTGTACACTTGAGTGTAACTCAACTATACATTAGTAAAAATAAAGAAATAAACAAGTAAACATTTTCTCATACCTGCTATCAGAAAGCTTAGAAGCAGGGAACCTGGCCACACAGCCCAGACTGCCTGTCTCAG